TGAGCTGTCGGGTGACAAACCCTCGGCTCCCACTGAGGGGAAGACAGGCTGGCCCGACCCTCGACAGCGAACATGAGGGAGGAGATTTGAAAAAGATTGGCAGTGGTGTGGTGGCAGTGACTGGTTATTTTCCCTTTCCGTTTCATCCATGCACTACTAAAGCAGCACCAACCATCATGTCATCACACACAGAGATTTTGTGGACAATGACGGCATATGACATGCTAGAGAATAACTTTACTATGAGGTCCTAGAAAAGTCCAAATGTAGGACATAAACTGATAGACAATAAAAGCAAGCACCGTCAGTGTTCTTCACTTCGAAGCCACCACGCAGATATATATATTTTTTTAAATCAAGAAAATTTAATTTCATGCCAGAACAAAATTTCTACAAAACTTAATTATTTAGAATAAAAAACGAGTCTACGTTTTGATGTGCAAACTATACAAGAAGTATAAAAAGAACCAAGCTCAAAACAAACATTAAAGCCAGAGGCTCGTTATGGTCCACATGGTAACCACACATCTGTGTCTGTCACTCCCTGACTTCCTGGTTAATGAGAGGCAGACAGAAATGGACTGAAAGATGAGTTGCTGTGCAAAAAGTATAAGTTAGAGCTTAAAAGATTTTTCTACTGTGAGCAGAAAACTAAGATAAGATAAGATAAAACTTTATTGATCCTGCAGGAAATTGTTGTGCCAGAGTTCCTATACAAAGGAGCATACAAGATTTAAAAATAACAGGATATAAAAAAAATAACAGAGAGATAGAGGTATCAACAATTAAGGTCCAAAACATGTCAGGTGCAGGCAGAAACATGACAGTGTTTATTGTAGTGCAGTAACTAATGGCCCCACGTGATTTTTTTAAACCTAGTGTTTTATGTAAAACACATATGTTTAAAAGATCCTTCACTTCTAGTTTTAAAGAGAATACTTTAAGCAAAAACATAAATGAAATCTGTGGACATTTTGGTGTGCACTCTGCATTCTGGGGGGATTTGAGTTAAATAAAAAACAACAACTATAAGTTATATACAAGAGAGAGACACGATGGGTGAAAGGAGACAAAAATGTCAAAGTTTTGAACCAAAAAGAGTTGCAGGGGGTGAGAATAAACAGTTTGCAAAAAAACATGAACATTTTAGACAGCTCACAAGTTATTGTGCGACATCAACTGTCAGTTAAACATTTTGTGGAAAAATCCTAAAACTTAAGCAGCAATTGTGTAAAAACTGTAAAAGATATCAAAGTGCCAGCTCAGTTATGTGAAGTCCAACTTTCTGTGACCCGTTTAAACTTTAAATGAAGTTTCTAATGTGAATCCTGCGTGAGTTTTAGTGCTCCAAAGAGAGCTGGATTCTCTTGTGCATTTTGCCAAAATCCCATTGATTGCCATTGTTTTGTGTTTTCTGAAACGTTTTTGCATATTTTGTCAATGTTATGGGACGATGTACAACTACCAAAAGTCATAGAATGCAATTCTTGATCGAGCTTCACATTTTGGGATTTAATTTACACGTTTCTATTTTAAAGTTATACGACGAGACAAATGAAAACACTTAACAGGATCGTAATAAGTGTTTGAATGCTGTTGCTTTGATATCAAACAGACCAGACATGCCTGCAAAAAAAAAAAAACACGAGCTTCATGTTGACACTCCATTTGAAATGATTGATATTCTATGCAGGAAGGATGCAGGATGTAGGAAGAGGGCCACCTGCATCATGAAGGACCCCACTCACCCAGCACACACACTTTTTGCCCCGCTCCCCTCAGGAAGGAGGTTAAGGAGTATTAAGTGTAGAACCACTAGACTGAGGAACAGCTTCTACCCTGAGGCTGTTAGACTCATGAATTTCTCACCAGGATGTGAAAAATTACATCATGTTGCTGCTGATCTGTTTCATGTTGCCGTGTTCATTCGTGCTCATTTGCCCACACAGACTCATGTTCGTGCTGCTATTCGGCGTATTGTTTTTTATCAAAAATTCAAATTCAAAAATACTTTATTAATCCCAAAGGGAAATTATTTTGTTGTTGTAACTCGATATTCTCATTTCATTAAGAGATGTTATAGATACTGACGGCTGTAGACAGGAAGGATCTCTATACATTCTCTTATGCAACTAGTGCTTAGCGTATTTTTAGTTAGCGTTTTTCTTAGTTCATATCTTAGATCTTATTACCGTTTTTCTTTTACATTTTATTGTTGGCTGTAACTGGGACCCTGTTTACACAATTTCGTCCCACCACATGCACCACATGTGGTTCGAATGACAAATAAAGAAACTCTGACTCTATGATCTGGGAGATAACATTTCTTAATTCAGACAGTCTTCCTAAACTACAAGGGTTAAAAGCAAAGATGCCAATTCTTGTGATGACATGAATGAGCACAACTGATGGCACCGACAGCTTTCAGATGTCCACAAGAAAAGCCTCCTCTGATAAATCTGTGGGGGATTTGTCATTGTTGTGCCAGAAAAGGGTTCAGGAGGAAGGAGGTCACAGCGTGTCCCTTCGGTGGCTGGTCTGTCTTGCAACAGATGATAAGCTTCACTCACTGCCGCCGCAAAGAGGACCGTCATCCCAAAGATACTTGGATTCTACAAGTGTAAATACATTCATCCCTATGTGGTTGTAATTATTTAGAAACGATTTAAGAAAACACAAGCTGTGAGACACAAATCTACACTGGGCCAGAACTTTGAGGAAGTTTCTTAACATGTGACAGCGTGGAAGAAAGAAGGAACCAACATCATGTTTTAACACGAATATCAACCGGATGTTGAGAACCGGAAAATGCAAGGAATCATGAGAATGTTAATAAGAAGCAGCCTCCAATCATGGGTAAGAATGATAACATTCAGGGGTCGCCTTTGATGCAGCAGGGTGCCAAAGCAGAGCAACCTAAAGGCATGCTTGCTCTATGGCAGTGGTTCCCAAAGCTGGGGTTGAGACCCCACAGAGGGTCATCGAAGACCAAATGCGGAGCTTTTAGGTGGTTTTCAGACATCAATTTAAAGAGTCCCTTTAACCAGCGATAGTAAGGGTTGCAGCGAATCTCCCTCTGCCACTATTTTGTAGGTGGGAGGCTGAAAGGTTTGGGACACACTGCTCTAGGGTGAGCCTCGAGCCTGGTCCTGACCTACGACTCTTATTATTTTCTTATGTACAAGACAACTGTATTTCTTAATGGCAATTGGTGTTGTTTTAAAAATGGTTAAAGTATCGTGCTGTCATTTCAATAACAGCCAGACTGGAGCTGACATTGCACATATTTTGGCCACAGCTAGAGGCAGAAGCAACCTGCAGTTAAAACAGCAGAAGACGAAACAGAGGAAACTGCAACCAGAAGTGACAAAGTGAGCGGTCACTCGCAGGGTGGAAGCAGCGTGTTAACAACTGAACGAGTGTTAAATTACTAGAATGTTCATTCATAACAGGACAATTTGTACACAAGAAGTAAATGGTGCAACATTAGTGAGGACAATACGCTGGCAGTGTTGAGCAGCAGAGTTGAGTACATGGGTTGGGCCCATTAAAGTCTTGCTAAATCTTCTCTGCTCATGCTAAACAACTTGTTCCGGTAGCGGCTCTTGTTTTGAGCTGCTAGTACTCCAGGTTGCAACGAGAGATAATCTCACAACTCCACAGTGTGGGACTAAACTCCATCTTTCACGATGACAACACTCAGCCCTGAGAACGAGGTTTATCAGACTACCACCAGAATTTGGAAATGGGAATAGCCTCCCTACAGTCCTGACCTCATTCACATTTAACACTTGTGGGATTCGCTATGGTGTAATGGTAATTCCAGAGTGCCCAAAACCGCTGGAAAATGCTGGGAGAAATAATGGGATGGCATCCCACAGCAGCATGAGGAGTTGTGGTAGGTACCAGGCTGTCCTGATGCATGCTCAATAATCCAGGTAGAAAAATCAAGCAAGGTTAATCAGGTCCTCTGGACGGATTCTTGTTTGTTGAAACGTTTCATCTTTTATCCAAATGACTTTGTCAGTCTGAGCTCAGCAGGAGAAGGTTCAGGAGAAGGGGCTGTTTATAAGACTGATCTTGTTACAAGAGCTCAGACCAAGTCTTTTGGATAAAAGAAAACGTTTCGACAAACGAGAATCCTTGCAGAGGACCGGACTTAACCTTGTCAGATAGGCGTCCGGCTGTTGTGGCTGCGTATGGTTCTTCCACATGTTAACGGAGACCCTCGTTTGTCGAATGGATGAATTGTTCAACTGATGTTTCTTGTTTCTTCGAACTTCAATCATCCACTCCAACGAACGACGAGCGTCAAGAGCAGAATAGGCTGTTTGGTAATGTCAGAGAAGATAATGCAAGTTTTTACTGTGAGCCCAAATCACAAATGTGGCACCATTTAAAGAGAAATAACCAGGCTTCCCAACAGTGTGAGGTTTATTGCCAAGAAGCATTGTCACAGCAAATACCCCAAATCAAACACAAATTACCTTTTCATTCACCTTTTATTTATACAAGTTAATCCCATTGAGCCACTTGGACTCATTTACAAGAGAGACCTGGAGACCACCAAAGAGTGATAACAGTGGCAACAAACAACAACAACAGACATATTTATATACCACACTGAGACATTCTTTAAATTTACAACTCAGTTAAACTCCAAACACTGAATGACTCCAGCATTGCCACGAGGATGTCCTGAGGACTTTACTTGTTGTATTAAATTAATATTGTGTAACCCTACTAACAGGTGTGATTTAAGACTTCTGTGCATCTATTTATTTACCAAGCTCTTTACTATTTTAAACCCAAGTCCATAAACTCAAATGTGTGTCTTGTTTCGGACATATATTGAGGATTTGGCAACATCAGATGCAGCATGTTGCAGTCTAAGTGCAGAAATCCAACAATTTACAACAACCTTAAATAAAATGCATTTGAAAAGGAGGCCAACCTTTTAGTTGAAGAGGAGTTCGTGCATGAGAAAGTGCAAAACTTACCGACTGGAGGAAGAGCAGCGTCCGAACATAATCCCTCTCCGTGTTCAGAGTCTCGTTTAAAACGCAGAGCCGGAGCCGCTGCTGTCGGTCCGAGTCTTTGGAGACCTGGATCCCGTTCTCCTGGTGCCCTTCGTCCTCTTCCATGATCCTCACAAACCTCCCCCTGAAAGGTCCGGACGGGTCGCAACTCTCGAGAAGAAGCTACGCGTGTTTCCTGAAGCATCCACGCTGCCGCTGCTCTGGGGTCAGTTTTACTCCATGTCGCAGAGTCTGGTGATGCTCGACGCACAAAGTTCGGTCAAAGTCCCAAACAAGAAGCGGGAGGAGAGTCGGAGCTCGGCTGTGTGGTCGCAGCAGCAGCTGAGAGCGAAGCGAGACGGCAGGAGAGAGAGGAAGAGGAGGAACCGACGAGCTCGCGCAAACAAAACGCACAAGCGTGCGTCTGTGCCCCACGTCCTTCACACATGAAGTCACGGAAGCCTTTAAAGAGAAAAATGGCTTCTCGAAGTCAAAATAACTCAAGTCGCATTAAAAAAATTAAAAAAAAACACTGGCTCGTGCCACAGCAAAATTTAGCTAAATGCGACGTTTAAGGGAAATTTGCGGGGTTAGCTAGTTGTTTATCGAAACGCAACAGTGCAAGTCAACACTGAACCGATATATTTTAGACGTTTCGCAAAATATAGAAAACAAGGCGTTTAAATTATTCCAGGAACGTTAAATTCTTAAGTGTCGAGACTTAAAATTACTTGGTTAGCAAATGTAAGAAAATGGCGCCCTCTAGTGGTTGGAAGCGCAGCTGCAGCTTCCTGTTTGGAGGCGGGTGCTGATAAACATGACGTCACTTTTTGAAAAGCTCCCTTTTTCTGTCTGTTACCTCATAACAGACACAGCTCGTGAACAGCTGGAGTAAAATAAAATGTGTATAACGCTAACAATTTTACAGATAGAATACATTTGGACTCGTGCATTTGAAATAACTCCTTTTCTGTTAACATTTTGTGTGACATCATTTAAATTTTTACATTCGCCCATTGCAGTCAAGACTGTCTGCAAAATATTTTGTAAACTGCAGAATATTGATGAAACTTTCAGGAAATAATTATCAGTTATGAATCTACAACTGATTCAACAATGAATTCAAGAATGCCTTCACAACCAAGCAAACTTTGCAAAATAAAATAAAAAGGCCAAGCGTATTATACTGAGCTAAAATTTTATGTTAGTAGCTGAGAGTCATTCACAACATGTTCTATGAGCACAAAATCCAACAATATCATGAGATTGTGTATAATGTTAAGGTTTGGTATAACTGGCTACAAGTTTGTAATTTCTAGAAGATAATTTAAAACTGGCATGACAGGCGGAGGACAATGTGCATCTCTAAATATAATTTTAAACACACTAAAGTATCAGATCGTTGTTTGTTTTTTCTGTAAATTCAGCTTTTTGTCATGTTGTTCTGGTAAACATTTGGCATGTACAGCTTGCTGACTCATTTCAGTGCAGTCACACTTATCCAACTGCACAAGCTGCAACTCATCCTGATGCATTTCGGACTTTTGACGTTTTATTTCAAAACCGCAGCTTTAAACTTCTAAACCCAGTTCCTTCTGTAAAATGTAAGATTTATAAATGACATCCTGTAAGGGGAAAAAGAAAACAAAAAATCAAATTAAAAAGTGCCGAAATTAAAATGTCAATAATGGTTTTAATTGATGCATGTTACATTCAATACCCATTGTGTTCCTCCCGCATATAATTACAAACATACATTTTGTTTGCCGTCTCAGCTGCAACGGACAACTTTTAAATGCCTTAAGCTATCATATATTTACATATTCTTCTACTTCTGTACATGGCAAGTCCTTAAATACGATCAAAACATTAGAAGAGTAACAGGATACAATGTGCGATGATTGTATGTGTTTTCTTTGAAGCATATTTAATGTACTTTCCTTCCAAAAAAAGGCATGTGCATACAGCACCGTCATAAAAAGTGAGTCACGATTAGACATGATAGGTTAAAAACTCCACAAAGCCTCTTCTTCGTTCATATATCACAAGATAAAACTCTTCCTTCAGCAGGGTTTTTCTTCCAAAATGCAGAAAAGTACAAAAAGACGTTAAGGTAACAAAAAAAAAATGTGCTCAGTGCAATAAGACTTTCCAATATATCAGAAACTAAGAGGTGTTTGTCCTGTATGTGTGTGATAAATAAATTCACATTGTTACAGGCAATCAGAGGACTCAAATCCAAACAAAGGTACAGTGAATAAACAGTAGTGGAAAATAAAATAAAAAGTCAGACAAACATTTGTGAAGGCAAATCGGAGCATTTATAAAGACCCAACTTAGCTTAGCTATTTAAATACTCTCTTTATGGCTAAAACATAAAACAAAACAAAAAACAAACGGCTTGTACAATACTCTGCAAAGTCTCAAACCACCTGATATTTATTTTATTTGCTTAGAAAAAATGGACTTTATGGCAATTTCTAAACTAGTCTTGAGAATATAAGCATTCTGGCACTATTCCTCGAGTTTACTGTAGAAACATGCTTGTTCTTTTTAAACTTCTTTGGAACTGACCATTTTTTAAATAAATTTTTGTGTGCATTTGTTATGCCACTTAACTTTGACCTATAAGTATAAAAATAGTTCAAAGCCTAAGGGATGAATTGATAAGTCTAATATATTTAGATTTACCAATAAAAAACAGGAGGTTTAGCTAAATTTGTTATGAGGCTGGATAAGATTTAACCAAAGGTACTTTAAAATACTTTTATATAAAGATAATACCATTTGAGTTTAGAGATCTGTTTTATGCTAAATTCATTCAAAGGTTAGTGTCAAGAGGCAGAAGAGTAAAAAAAAACAATTTCACGGAAAACAAGTAAAATTAAATAAAAATTTTTTAAAAAAACAGCCAATATCCAAAAACTGAAAACCTGTCATAAATCTGGATCAAAACCAGTTTAAAGTTAACAAGACAGTCCATTTTTTAAAAGCAAAATATAATACATAAATTATTGGGTGGCCCAAGTTTTGCACAGTATTATAATATGTTGGCTACGTTGAGCATTTTGGCCAGTCAATCTTTCATTTTAGATTTTAATTGAAGGAATAAGACACTTAAATCTGCTTTATGCTTCCGTTTGTTTTTGGCAGAGACGTCAAACCCAAAATACATCTGTGGTCGTTTTAGATCAGCCCTGCAAACGTTAAGTGCAAACTCCAGGAGCTCGGTGACAGCTCTCACTGTCAGTAAACCCACACCCATTCTAACGTTAGCTCGATTGGGGAAAACAAAAATAAAGAAATGATATAAAACAGTATTGTATTGAAAGTTGTGTTTTCTAAAGTGTCAAATGTCATTTGTATATGCCACGAGCAGGATTTATGAGGTTCTGTCCTCTTGTAGTGTCAACTGAATGGCTAAACAAGCACACAAAAGGCTGTGTGTACACACACACACACACACACACAGTGTAGTGGTGGTTGTGTATCAGGACAACCATGCACAAAGCACACTTGTGAAAATGACACCCATATTCTGTAAATAAACAGAAATCATTAATCATGGAAGAAAAAAATATAAATGCGAGTTCTGTTTGCTGCTGAACTGGTCAAATGCGTGCTCACATCAGGAAGACTATAGCGGGTGTCTGGATGTGAATAAAACACTGTAAATTGGATTATGGGTTTTGGTTTTAACGGAAAAACATTGTAGTGATCCTTATGTTTGTAAGCTTGGAGAAAATCAAAACAAAACCAGATTTAGATTCAATCCTACGTGACCAAACCTCATGAAAACGACTCGCGTCCCAGGGTTTACAGAACAACCTCTTTAAAAGGTCAAAAGGCCAACAGTGTTACTAATGTATTGCATTTAAAGATGAGCAAAAACTCCTCCTGCCACAAAGCATGAACCTAAACAAGGAGACAGTCACTGCTAAACTTCAGCCATTCAGACCTCCAAAATGCAGCTGCAGTACAGAAACGATGGTTTTTACCTTGGCATGGTTCTTGACACTTTGATCTCAGAGTCAAAGGCAAACAGTGTTGATATATGTATTCATATAAATACCAAAATAGTACAGTATAAATATAAAGACTCTGTGTGTGTATGTGTGCACGCACAGTCGAAAATGGTATCCAAGTTTAGAATGAGTGTGTGTGGTGTGCGTGCGCTCGTGAGCCAGTGTTAGGACAGGATGGAGGGGAGGGGGTTAGAGGTGAGGCTTTCCATCCCCGACCTCGTGGAAGAGAGAGGTGTAAAACTCGGGCTCCAGCTGCTTGTTGCGGTAACGCTGGATAATCTCTGTTATTTTGTGTTTTCGCCTCACATGAGGAGGGTTGTACAAGTCACTTTCCAGGCGCTTCCGTCTGCACACGTTGATGACAGTTTCACGCACAAGAAATCCTGGGAGGCAGACCAACAAAAACAAAAAGCCATTAGTGTCCAACAGCAACAAATGTCAAGAAACAGCTTGGTCCTATTAGAGATCTTTTTTTTTTTTTTTTTGCACATAAGCACAAACAGCCAATTGTTTAGAAAAGCCATTGTATTAAACACATTTTTTGTACTTTTCAAAGTAAAACATCAACCGTAAATTTAAAAAGGGTACAGCACAATGGTGGTGGGAGTAAAAGCTATTTTTAGAAACATCTTATAACAAATGGAAAAGATTCTTAATCAGTTTTCAGAAGTCAAACATTGACCTTAACATTTATCTGTGCTCCCCACTGTAGGAGAGTCAGCAGAGTAGAAGCTGCTCGGTGCAGTTTGTCCTAGTGGAGCTGCCGTAGCTTCCTGTAGTTAAAACATGTTATGGTAACAATTTGTGGTTTCATGTTTTTCATCGTTTCTTCACTGAACGTTGAAGAATAAAGCATGTTAATAGCACCTAAGTTGTCATAACACGACAGTCTTTAGTAACTTTCAGTGTTTCCCCTAGTTTCCTTGGCAGGAAGCTCATATCTTCCGTGACTTTTGTTGACAGGTGGTGGGGGGGGGGGGCGACAGACACGTCTGTGTTGCGTGCTGTTTATACCGACAGTTTTCGAGCAGGGGGGTGAGTGGGGTATAGACGGCTCAGCGTGAGAGAAACGGAGCGCTACATCTGTAGCTTTATAGCTAGCGCGTCTGTATTGTGCACTGCTAGCTTAGCGCTACGTCAGTGCCGGCAGTTGTCGATGGGGGTGAGGGAGAGTTCGATAGGCATGGCACTCAGTTCTGTTGACAGGGCGGGGCACCCTGCTTGTATAATGGTAAGGGAAACAGACTTTCAAACATTTGATGTGTATACATTTCCATTAATGCACACAATGCTAATGACTTAAGCTTTTCTGTGGCGTTTTTAGTTTTATGTAAGAATCTGTGCTTATTGTGGGTCACTACACTGCGAGTCTGTGAGAAACAGGGACTCGTGGTATTATTTTATTGTGCACTCTTTATTAGGCATGAAATATATAAAACAGTGTTCATGTAAAGTTTCACTATAAACAAACTGCATCAATAAATGTTTGATTACATCACAGCCATCTGCCTCATAATCTAATCAAGAGACGCATCAAGAATCCCACAAAAAATAAACTGATCATTTCCTGTGATGCACTCAGACCTTTTGTTTTCTTGTTCCAAAGAAACATTTTAAAATGGGGTATAGAAGGTAAGTTAAGTCAAGGAAATCTGCAAGATCTGTTACCTAGAGCTCGGCGGCTGACAACCATTCCGTCCACAAGAGGAATCACCATGCCAAATTTGCCTACAGCTCCGTGCAACCGAATCCTGAAAAGTCCCGTCTTCAGAGGGTGAATGAAGATCAGAGGAACGTCCTTTTCGAGTAACCCTGACCTGCAGCAGGGACAGCAAAGGGAAAAGTAAGGAATTTCTCACCAATCTTAGTTTTCATGCTTAAAATATAAATTACTCCACTGACGCATCAACAAATGTGTAGCTTTGCAATCTTTGCAACTTTTTTTGTTAATGGAACAATGTCAATAGTTGCATCAAATTTTTAAAATCTTGGTTGGGAGTTGGAGCATGGACAAAAGAAAACGTTAAGTTTAGGTAAAGATGAACCTCTTTCTTAATTAATTATTTCCGAAAAACAAAAAACGTATTGGGTTACTTAGCAGAAACGGTAAAAGTGGTCAATTTGTGACCGATGACATTTATTAATTTTTATGCAATCGGGCATCTTTAAAAACTTTTTTATATCCTGTACATAAATATAACTAATTTAAGCAAAGTAGACAGTAGTCTTAGTTGATATATTTTACTAAAACAACTTGAGATCAAACCTAAATTAAAATGACAAAAGCATAAAAAAAATTATATACTGATAGATATACTGGTATATATATTAATTCAGCCGGGCCATTCCACCTACTAAACAACTGGCACTTCTCTGCCACACTTCTTTTTTTGTCTGTCTGCTTTTGCACACACCATGTGAACACTTCCTGTTTTGCATTGCAGGTTTGAGCACAGCTTTGCAAAACAGTTTTTTTCTTCATCCTTTGTGCACCTGACCACAACAGGCCGTTCAAACAAAGTGTTTTGAGTGTTAACCTCCAAATACCTGCACGAATTGCTATTGCTCAGGCTAGCCTCTAAACCCGTACTGGTTTCCGCCAAAAGATCCGATGACGGGAAGTTCTCTAGAGACACACAAACAAACAAGCACCAGTTGATTTAGCTCATGAACAAATGGTTTACTGACCACCTATTTTACACTCAAGTTTATGACAGATTTGAATGACTAAAAACACTGAAAATTTAAAGAATATGTTCATACCAATATCATCAAAGCGTTCCACCCAGACTACAAACACCTTGGTTTCAGGACCCAACTGGGGGTAAGGCTTTCCAGTCGATGACCTCTTTGCCTTCACCAAAGGACTCAGCTACAAAAAAGCGGATTCATTCAGTAATTTTGAGTAAACACTAAATAAAAAATATACCAAATCACCTCCAGTGATGTCCGCATAAATCTTTGCATATGCAACCCGTGCTGGCAAAAGGAATGGGCACAGGCTGAAGTGCAAAAGAAGTGAAAATAAAAATAAAAAATTGATTTGTAATTAGTTTGAGATCTGCATTAATAGAGGACAAATTGACCTCATTTCCTTCAACGAATTGCTAAAATTGAATCGTTTTCATTTGATACTATTTCTATCTTAACTTGTGATTCTTGACCTGCCATTGTGTATCTGTTCTTCTCAAACCCAGCCGGTCGAAGCAGATGGTCGCTTGTCCTGAGCCTGGTTCTGCTAAAGGTTTCTTCCTCATGAGGGAGTTTTTTCTTTCCACTGTCGCCTTCATGCTTGCTCAAGATGAGAGTTCTGCGATGGGAGTTAAATTCAAAGCAGTCTGCTCCTCAGATAAATAATGTTAAATTATTATTTTTATATACGAATGTTTCTGTTCAGTGCCCTGAGGTGACTTCTATTATGACTTGGTGCTATATAAATAAACTGAATTTAATTGAATTGCATAAAAATGAGTACATATAGACAGCATCTAGCAATCCCTGGAAATGGAATAGCCTATGATCTTCCTAATCTACTTTTAAATCCAAGTTTTTTAACAGCTATGTCTTCAGAAATAATTGTCTTATATACACCTTAATAGTTTCCTTTGAAATTGACCATTTCGTCTGCCAGCATCAGTAGTGCCAAGAAATACATTCGTATAATGTTTGGAATCATTTTAAAGCTTTGGAATGCTCAGTTTTCCACATTTCCCATTCCTGCAGCTAATGACTGGATTTACAACTGACTCTAAAGCTCACATCTTTTATCCTATTTTCTATTTTTGTTTGTTTGAAAGTGCAGTAAATGGTAAATGGACTGTACTTGTATAGTGCTTTTCTATCTTAAGACACAAATCTGTGCCCTGATTATTTACCCATTCATACAACACTCTACTAGGTCTCTACAAAGCTAATAGAACAAATCATTCTAAAGAGACTAATCAGAGCTTTATCACATTCATACACCGATGGGACACACATCCGAGGCAATGACGGGTTCAGTGTCTTGCCCAGGGACACTTCGGCATGTGACTGCTGGTGGATTCGAACCCCCAACTCTTGCATCAGAAGATGACGTATAAGAGTATCGTTTCCCGATTGCTGCACGTGTTTTCAGTAATCTCATTTTAACATTCCATTACATTCTTACACATGTATCTGTTCTAACTAATCTAGTATTACCCATACCTTCGGTCTGTATGATTTGATGTTTGGTTGCCTGTCGTGTATATGTTATTTCTCTGCTGTTTTTGTTGCCTCTTGGCCAGGTTATCACGAAAACAAGAAATTGTTCTCAACTAAGCTGGTTAAATAAAAGTCAAATAATATAAATAAAAATAATTCCTCATTGTGACTCTTTTTGCCAGTGCGGCTCACGTATAACTGCACAAGCAAAACTTTACCTTCTTGGCCGACTCCAGGTTCTCGGAATGGTTAGGGAAAAGTTCCAGTGTGAGATTGTGTTGTCGAAGTATACCAGGCATGAGATCTGTGGTGGTGTCTGCCTCAACGGTGGAGTCACTGTGCACCGATGACTCCTCTGCAAAACACCAAAGAGCAAGCTACAACTCCAAGTCCTTTTTAAAAAGACATCTGTAAATCATCATTTAAGTTATTGAATACAGACCTGAATTTTCTGTTAGAGAGGGAACAACAAAGGCTATCTCAGACAGAGCATCAGCATAGTATAAAACCTTCTTCTCTCCGTTGAACACTGAACCACCCGTGTCCTCAGGGGTAGCTGCGTCTTCTGAAACAACATTAAGTTACAGCACCACTAAAAACAAATTCTATATTAGAAATTGGTCCAAATTCACCCTTACATCTGGTGTAGTAGTTGCCATATAAGGTTACCTGCTTGTTGTACATCGCTGGTGTCGAAGCAGGAGTTCAGGGACCAGCTGGTGTCAAGGTGTCCAGTCCACCCAGGGTGGCGTCCCACATCAACAGCCCAGCCCAAAGACAACAAGAACTCCAAAAAGTGGGGCTGGACAGTAGCTGATGACTCTACGTTCCTCAAAATCTGATGACAGGTTGTTTATTAAAAGATTTTTGCAAAATAGTGAAAGACGCAAACAGTTCTTTGAAAAATTCTTCTGACCGCTCAAGAAAAAGGCAATTTCTCTGGAGAACTGATTTGACCACAAGCTGAAACATTTTGCTCCTAAAATATGAAAACTTGTCATTCGTGCAACTTAAAACTCAACAGTGTTGATCTTCAGTAAAATCTTCATTCAACCTTTATTTATACAGGTTAATCCCACTGATCCTCGGGGACTCATTTACAAGAGAGACCCGAACACATTCATTCACATATTTGAAGACTTAGATACTAAAGTAACTCGGCTATGTAAATAGTTTTTTCTTTACACTAAATCAGCATTGTGAAAAATAAAATTTTAAAAATAAGTGTCTGCTCACCTCAGAGCTGCTTTTCTGTCCAGCCCTCACGTAGAAAATAAAAACAGTGTCAAACGGTCGACAGGGAAGCAAGTCCAGGTAGCTGATGTCCTCAAAAAATCCAGGCAAAGATGAATCCAAACCAATAAGATGAGGAGGAAGACGACTGTTGCTCGGTTCCTGCCAAGATTACAATTTAAATTTTAATGAACTTTAACTGTATTAGCATTAAAGTATTGTTTTGTGTTTAGGATTTCAAAGACCTTTCTGACTCAGCATTCACGCAAACTATTAGCGCGTTATTCGGACCAACCTTCAGTGCCTCCAGAGACAGAAAGCCAAACTGTGAGAGGAAGAGGCGCGCTGTCTGGAACTCCTGTGAGGGTGGAGGGGGTTTGCAGTCCGTCTGTGGGTCGGGGAAAGGCTTGGACTTCATGATATCCTCACTGCGTCGCTCCAAAGAGTTCTCGTACTCTATCTGCTTGGTCATCAGAGCACGAAGCTTGTCGTGTTGAATTTCCAGCTGAAGCAAAAAGAGTTTGTGGGGTTTTAAAAACTCAGATAAATCATATGTGATGAAAAACAATAGAGAGCACAGATTCATTATTAAGCTGCACAGGAGAAGCCCAACACCCCAGAAACATACCGCCAGTCAGAGTTGAAATTAAAATCTTGCATCATTTGTAAAAGCCAAACAGAAAACATTTAATTTAGGAAAGAACGTTCATTTAAAACCTCAACAATCTAATCCAGTTTTGATGGTCTTTCAATAAAGAAAAGCTTTAACAAATTACTTGGTCGACGTTATTCTCAACAGTAAAAGGACAACTTAAGAGTTGGCTACAAAATAATTTAAAGTTTATATCTGCAAAGGCACAGAACTGGATTAGGAAATATCCCACAGCGATTAACCCCAAACTTATAAATTTCATCCTTTTCTGTGAGAAACACCCAAGTGAAGTGTTTTTTTCTGTTCAACAACTCACATGGGGGTTATTACTCATCAGTGAACTTGTGGCTTCTGACTCATCCTCCCAGCCCATACAACCCACCTGAGTTTGTACAATAACAAATCATGTGAAATGTGAGTTTTCATTAGAGCTACATTTCAGCCATAACAGCGAGAGAGAGCCCTGAGCCACCTCACATCTGGAGTCGTTTGTGCAATATTATGGATGCAAGTCTAAGAGCAAGGGTTAACAGGTAGCTGCTTTCTCACCTCTCTACTGACTATATCATCCAGGTCAGGGATGCTGACATCAGCTTTGACAAGAGGGATCTTATCGACCTCTTCAGGGAAAGGTCTTTGTTTGACGTTGTACTTGATGCCCACATCGTTTCTGGGTGTCGGTCGGCCCTCAGGAACAAACATCTGTGAGAAGAACGAACCAGATTAATAGATATAAAAACTGGTTTTAAATAGCTCTAAGGTAGCATGATTCCTAAGGAGCATTATCGAGTAATCCACAGTGTGATGTCACCCTTTGATTGGCCCGAGCTCCTCTGGGTTGATGGAAGAGCTGCATTGTCCAGGCATGTCGTCCAGCTGTCCCCCGAATCAAAACCGTCACCGATGGACTGGGGTCTGCAAATACACATACAATTACCAAGAAATCAGAAATAATTGCACATTTAATGGACAACAATAAACCAAATCATTCATTATTATTTAAGTCTATCAAACTATATTGTCAACTGGCGGATCATAGGCCTGTCACGATAACAAATTTTGCTGGGCGATTAATTTGTCTCAGAAATTATTGCGATAAACAATAATATTGTTAGAAATTTTACAATAATTAGTAATTGTCAAAATTAAGAAGAAATGTTGATAAATTTTTGTGTGTAGTACTATTTTTGACCACTGGATGGCAGTATAAGACTGTTTGAACTGAAGGATGGATAGTGAGGGAGCGAGCAGCGTGTCTCTTTAAGAAAAATGTGAAAGAGGCCCCTTGATGTGACATGGGTTGTTTCTCTTCGGTGCTCAAAATGGCGAACCCTCTGTGTGGTTTGAGCTCTTTAGCATAGCATTTTTCACACAAAGCTTTTAATAATCAATCAGTAAACAAGTTCTCAGCTGCTTTTTGTAGAGAAAAACAACTTTTTACACGAAGACACAAGTTTCAACTGTGAATTTTGGTTCTTCGACAAGACGTAGGTTTTTTCCCCAAGGTCAGTCTGTTAGTTTAGCTCGTGGGTCAGTTTCTCAGCTTAGCTGCTTTTAATGATCCAAAAACCCAATTTTGGATGGTTAAAACAGATTTTAAAGAGAAAAGAGAAAGGGAGGAGTCAGTGAAGAGCACCGGAGTTGAGCCATGTTTTCAGTAGAAAGAGAGAGACACGAATAAACGATAAAGCTGATAAATAAAAACGAAGTCGATAATTTTAATTTATCATGCGATTAACTGATTTATTGTTTATCGCGACAGGCCTAATGTTAAGTCACTCACTCTGCTCATTGCCAAGCGGTTGCTCCAGCATTGCAAGGATAACAGAGTTGTCCAGAACGAAGTAGCGGAAATTGTTGACTCCGGTGGCACTTAGCCTGGCATAGCGAATCAAGGTGTCTTCATTCAGCAGACTGCAGGTGGATGCTGGTCCACTGGGAGAAGGGAAAGACCCCAACACCTGCATGATGCTGGGAAACACCACAAAAACACAAGCAAGCACATGAATTACAGTAAAGTGGGTCAGTCAAAGCAACACATTTTACGTTTTAACAGGGTCAGTTCAAACACTGCAGAAATAATGATTCAGAATTAAACTTTACTTTTATTTTCTTCAATGTTTTCTTAAGTATCAGGCAATGCATCTAATCCTATGGCAATCTGCTGGATACTCAACATGCATTAAGCATTAATAGTGCTATAGCATTTTCTTTTTCCAACTTGTAAACAAGCAAATGTGTAAAACTGTGTTTAAAAGTAAGGAACCAGAGGTAGAAAACTACTGCTCGCTGCAGTTTCCCAGTAAGTTTTTTTATGTAAAAGTATTTATGCCCGGGTATGATTGAATTCACGGTGGCAGTAAGCTGATAGATAATAAAGTACGTGTCTGTAGACTGAACAATATTTTTATTGATTTTATGCAAAATGATCAGGGAAGCTTTTATGTGCACAAACACCTCTTCTATTCGAGTACAAATAAAATAATCAGCAGGTTTTCATTTTGCAAAATCTTTAAAAGTTTACCAGGATAAAGTAGCTTCGGCAGCGTCCTTCACCCTCATGGAAGCGGGGTTGTGCTCCTTCTCTCCTTTATGACGAACTTCCTGTTCTTGACGAGATTTACTGCCAGAGATTCCTAGTTCCACTATTTCCAACACTTCCATCAAACAATCCTAGCACATAAAAAATATATATATTAATCAAAACATACCTCTTTATGGCCAAGTTCACAAATTATTCAAGGTCAAATTTCATACCGGTCCCTAAGCGTACCTTCTCATCCAGCATGTCAGGGTGCTCTGTGAGCCACACACAGAGGAACTGGAAGGCAGCCACGATCATGGAGTGAAGGTCTCTTGATTGAAGAGGAGCTGGACGGCTACACTGGTACACAATATAGCCACAAATGGAGCTGACGGCACGTTTACGGTCTGCAGAATCCACTCCCACCTTAACCTAGTTCAAACAAACAAAAGTGACTTTGGTGGATCTGAAATATCCTAATTAAAAGGAACTATTTTAATTTATGTCACTTAATATAATCTGTAGTTTTTGTGTTTTTACAGCAACAGTTTATCTTTTTACGTCTGGTTTGTTGCTTAGTTCTTGGCTAAGTGACACCACCTATGCATTTGTCTGCACAGCGAGTAACAGAGATCACATCTCAAATGATTACTCAAGACACTGAGCAAATAAATAAAAGCGTTTACAGACAAACATGACGCTATTTACTTAGAAATGAATAACCAAGGATGCATTTCGGCATCAGATACGGACATCTCGTGTATATTTAGTGCTTGCTTTACCTTGGCAAGTCCAGCTAGCAGCTCCAGGGCAGCGAGCGAAATGCTCATGTCTTGTCTCCACTGGCAATTGAGCCTCTGGGTGACGAGGTGGATGCTGCGCACCAGCAGACCTGCAGCAGTATCTGGAAGAGCTAGACCATATAACACCCCGAAATACCAAACACCGCAAAAACAAACAAACAAAAAATAATACAAAATAAAAAAAACAAACAAAGCAATGCAGAGTTAAAGCAACACACCTGAAATATTACACAGGATATGAGCTCAGGGTGCCCACTTAGTAAATATTTCATGTTAAAGACAACATGCATTATGAAAGTCATTAAACGGCAGAGCGTACAATAAACAACGGATGTTAGTAAAAGGAAATATCAAACCCAGAATCAGAACTGAGAGATGTCCATTTAGTATGTGTTTGAAAAAGTAAAAAACATTATTTAAATGTAAGAAAATTATTTAGTTTTCATTTTCTCATACAAATTTACAATTATTCAAACAAAATTACCCATTCATGGCTTAATGAGAGAAATGAGCCGTTACAATTCTCCTCACAGCCACAAACGCTTTGCCAGTTTAACCTACAATTTGCATAATATTAAACCATAAAAATAAAAAGTATTACTATAAATTCTGTGAAAAAACGTTCCCTGATAAATAGTTTGAAAAGAGGAGCTCACAGGAACGCTGGCAGAGTTTCACGGTTTCTTTCTGTACAGAGAATTACACAAACTGTGCAGTAAAAATATTTTAATTTATTAACAAACCACTATGTCCTACATCGCTCAGCCCTGCTCTGAAAATAATTTGCTTTAGGAAAAAAAAATATATATATATATATATATATAGCTCTCTGGTATGGAGTCAGAAGGATAATGGCTTTAACTGATACTGAAAATAATAGCAGGTATTAAAAAACAAACCAAAAAAATAAATAAAGTATTGTAATACAGTAGTTCCTTGTTTATCGCGGAGGTGTCCACTCTCAGTCCACCCGCGAGAAGTGAAAAACCGTGAAATAGGAATAATAGTACAAGTAGTAAGTAGTACTTTATTTTAGTATAAATATATATGATATATATATATATATATGATATATATATATATATATATACATACAGTATATATATATACACATCTGATATAGGCGTTTTAAACCTTTCCCCCACTCTTGCAATATTATAAACAAATTTTCTAAATGCTCTAAAAGAGCACAGAATGTCATGATCTCTGCTCTCTGTCACCTGCCAGCGCTCTCGGCCACGCCCACTTCTCCAATGAAGAGCAGAGATCGTGACATGCTGCAGGATTCTCCCTGCACATGAGGGCTGCACACAGGTGCAGCTGGTGCTAAGTCATTTAAAATAATTTATTTTAAATAAAAAATACATGCCAATCTTATGGCTCATCTATCAATCAGACAATTAATTGTGTCAAGTCCAATCTTACTTTGAAAAAACGCGTGAGTCCACCAAAGTCAAAAGGTGAAGTACTGAGGGACTACTGTATTAAAAAACATGCATGTACTAAACAATATCTATAGACATAAACATTGTGTCAGCTACCGGTATTTAGCTTTTCATGTTTATTTTATTTTTCAGTGCAACCTTGTTTTTCCCTCGTAGGAATTTATTTTCAAAAAAATTTTCCCCAGTGGTCATGTTTTAATATTTTTCTTTTATGGTTTTTTCCAACTTCGACGCTGTTATCATTCTGGCCCCATACAGAGAGATCATCAATCTCAAATAGTTTTTTTAAACAGTGTCACAGCAAGGAACTAAATCACCTACAAAGACATTTTACCCAGCGCTTCTTAATTCTGGACACCACTTTAACGACGTTAGCTACAGACAACAAGGAAGTTAGTTACATTACATGCAGTGCAAGCACTTTTAAGAGCTCTGCCACCAGCCTGTTAAGCATCATCTGACCAAAGAATCAGTGGAGCAGTTGTACATCTCACCATAATCTCTGAGCAGTGCCTGTGCAGGGCGCTCAGAATCTGGACTGGTGGCCTCTACGTTGCCTCCACTGGTGAAGCTGACGCCACTGTTGGTGCGACTATGACTTTGACCCCTCAGTGTCACATGACTCCCGTCTACACTGCCCTGAAATCACAACAACACGGCAACATTGATGTTCAGTCCAAATTTAACCCTTTTCTCATTTCTCATCAGAAAACAGGAGTGAGCAGAGCCTCACCGTTTCAGTCTGTGCTCCTATGGACTCCAACAGTGCTGAGTCTTGGACAATATTCAACATTGCACCTAAGAGAGATAAAATAATTAACAGAGATACTGTACACATTAAAAAAAAAACAATTTGAACAGGCCAGCGTAAATACTGTACAGAGAACAACCAGTGTCATGGTACAGAGTACTAGAAAATGTAAGATACCCAGGATGAGTTGTGTGTTGGTGGGGTCGGTCTCAGTCTGCAGGGCTCCTATGAGGACATTGACGAGACGTAGTCTCAGCGACAGGAAAGACACAGGCTGGTCATGAGGCCACCCATCCTCCTCGTTAAACTTCCCCTCCAACAGAACCTACAACAGACGATGTACAATTATCCCAAATTATTCAGCCCAAAAGTCATATTTAATAAAATCATTACAATTAACTTGTATAAAGACAGCCGAATGGAGATAAACGTCTCATTTTCATCACTATTTTAAACATCGTTTTGGTTTCTTTTTCAGCTTTAAATTAACAGCACTAAAATACCAGTCACTAGAGCTTTCATTTTTTAATATTTACCCAGCATTTATTTGATGATCCGTTAATTATACAGTCTATATTTTATCATAAGTGCGTAGCAAAAAAATTTAACAGGTTCTAGAATATTCTTTCACAATATAAAAAGCAACCCTCCACTAAGCGTTGCATAAAAACTCAAAAAAGCTCATATTTAGGACAGACTTTAAAGCAGTTACCTCTGATTTGATGTTGCCAAAGTGATGCGGCAGCGGCAGCATGGCAAGAAGAATGTTAATGGAAGCTCTCCTCAAGTCGGTAGGATTTACATACATCTTGAATTTAGACAACTCCCTGAAATTATAATAAAGGATTAAAGAATAAAGACATCTACAAAAATTTTTTTTTTTTTTCATAAAGCTGCCAATAACATTTTAAAGCTAATTATTTTTTAGTGCAAGAACAGATTTTTGGTACCACTTCAGCAAAAAGGTAAGGATTTACTGATGCTTTAGAAATAGGGTATTTATGCATTTGTGAACACTTTATAAAGCATTAATAATTTATAAAACCATTATAAAACACTTTATAGCAAGCTCACCATTTGGCCAGATCTTACTGTACATTTGCCAAATCAGATAAAAGTAATTTATTGTATGTTGCTCAGTTTATTTATCTAAATAACTTTAATCTAAAAATGCTCATAGTGATAAGATGCAATAACTTACTGACAAATATTTGATATTTAAGATCTAAATTATGAAGAAATTAATACAAGTACATCACTTGATTGTACCAAATAGAAAGCCTGCTTCAACATATGAACAATGCTTTATAAGTGTTTTTAAAATGTTTGCTAATGCTTCATAAACTCATGAATAACCTATTTATCAAGCATTTATCTATCATTTATAAAGAGGCCTTTATTGTGAAGTGGCACACTATTTTTATTCTTACTGAAGGGAGCGAAAGAAGCAAATATTTAATTTTTATTATAGTTTAAAAGCTACCTGTCTGGCACAATTGTCTCCAAAGCAGCTATGAAATAGGGCACTACAACGTTGATGCCTTTTAGGTCAGTACAGAAGAGAGAGGAAGAGTTGAGAATGATAGAAGCCAGGACTGGTCTACAGATGAAATCAGAAATCTGGAGACCCTGAATCAGAATCATGTAGAACCTGCAAAAACAAAGATTAAGAGCAGAAGAATATGATTTAAACCCCTGGCAGTAAAACTGTTCCAACATATCACTGTTGTTATCTAAACAATATGTACTACCTGGAGAGGTAGACGGGAAGAATTTCCTCTCCAGTTTTTTTGCTACAGAAAATGCGAGAGAGCGTCCCGCAGGCCTCAGCACGCCCTGCCTCGTAGCTCTCGGGGAACTCGTTGATATCAAACAGCGGGTTGGGCACCATGGAGTCAGTGGACATTTGGGAGCCCTTCCTTCTCAGCTCCAAACCCACCTGAGTGGCGATCGCTGAAAGAAGAGCGAAGAAACAAAATGAAAGAACCCCAATTTGTTTTGTTATTGAATGCATTCGTGCACGTACAAGAAACAGGTAAACACAGACATATCTACTGTATGTGAACGATAAGAGCTAACAGCAAAATTTAAAATGTGAAAACAAAAAAAAGCAGACATTTATAGATACAAAAGAGAAGAGACTTCAATGATTCCAAACTGACACTCACATCCTTTGAAAGCATTCGGTAAAGGAAACTCTGACACAAAGAGTTTGTCATTAAAGTTCAACCAACCACCATTACAAAACAAGTAGTGAACTAGAGCTAAATATGCCATTCACTTGCATGCCCACAATGCAAAGTCCATGTGTCAGCTTCCTTAACGTTGCAATTATATGACTGTCACTTAAAAGAACAGACCATTCAATTCATGCACTGAGGCACGGAAGCAATAAAATCACAACTCGGGTAAACAGACAACACAAAAATAAATTACAAAAATCAAAACATTAATGCTTAAGTTGAGGGGAGGGGTGGGGTCTGAAACGCACAAATCCAGATTAGCATAAATTAAAATAAAAAATAAAAAATGATGAGGCATTATCAAAGAACTGGCAACATTATGGCTGAGACAAATGGTCAGTTGGTAAAATCGATTGAATCGCCTTTGGGGAAAAACGCTGGTAAACTTTTATATATGTGACCAAGAATGAGGACGTAAAATGATGGTGATGATGGCAATGATCATGAGGAATTCAACTGAAAAGCAGGAAGAGTTGTCAAGAAACGCAAATCAAGTGAGGAAAAAAAAAAAGCTGCCATTCCTACTTACAAGATTTATAAGAAAGGAGAATTTGGATAAAAGAGGCTGCAAGATAACAGAAATAGTGGAGAGACACAAAATCAAAGCAGATCCAATATTTTAGGATCAATTCATAATCAGGCATGAATTGTATTTTTGTTCTCCTCAGTACATGACTGTTGACCCGTTACAACTACTAACATTAATCAGACATGGTAGACACGTGCAGGACATTACACCAAGAAGAGAAATATAAACAGAAAGCCAATAATCCGCCGAATATCTTCTCAAAAAGTGACTGTATGTGTTGTCATCAACTCTTTTAGAGGCGACTTTACAAATCATGGGACTATGATAAATCATTCATGTGCAATTTTAGCCTGAATGGCATTTTGGCCAGGTTTAGATAGCTGGCAGATGCAAACGAATTAGGATATTTCCATCTATCATTATGTGGCCACTTCTAACCAAGACCTCCACACACAGAAAGGCACAACAAAGTTTCTGAGAAAAAGATGGAAAAAGAAAAAATATCCCAATAACACAGTAAAAAAAGAATAACACCACAAACATGTAACTCCACAAAAAAAAAAAACACACACACACACATACTAATGAACAGCAACATAAGACACTTGCTCATGCATCAATTATAAATCCATCACTCATTATGTTCGCCTTCTTACCGGTCATGCTGGGGTCTCGGCTGAGGCCGCTGTGGAGTTTACAGTGGACCAGAGCAGCGTCGAAAAGCCACTGACCGAACAGGTTGAGGATGCTGTTGACCTTTGGCCGTGCTGGGGCTGGCAGCGGCCGGGACTCCAAGCTACTCTGGTTGGGGCTGGAAACTAGGGTTGGAGAGGACGTTGGCTGCTGCTGTTGCTGCTGGGAGGCTTTGGTTGGTTGACTACTACTGCTCTGCAAGGTACAGAGGACAGAGATGGATGTTCACTGCAAGTGGTTAACAGGACATTGTATAAGTTTCTCTTCAATTTAATGTTTGTTCTGTTTGTTTTAGAGCTGGTTGGACCCACTGAGGCCACTGTACAAGTGCTGGTCATAAAATTAGAACATCATGAAAAAGTTGATTTATTTCAGTAATTCTGTTCAAAAAGTGAAACTTGTATATTATATTCATTCATTACACACATACTGATATATTTCAAACGTTTAATTCTTTTAATCTTGATGATTATAACTAATGAAAACCCCAAATTCAGTATCTCAGAAATTTAGAATATTGTGAAAAGGTTCAATATAGAAGACACCTGGTGCCACAGTCTAATCAGCTAATTAACTCAAAACACTTGCAAAGGCCTTTAAATGGTCTCTCAGTCTAGCTCTGTAGGCTACACAATCATAGGGAAGATTGCGAACTTGACAGTTGTCCAAAAGACGACCACTGAAACCTTGCACAAGGAGAGCAAGACACAAAAGGTCATTGCTAAAGAGGCTGGCTGTCCTCTGTAATGGAGGTGAAGGGAAAGAAACGATGTTGTAGAAAACAAGTGTGCAAGCACCCTGGAGAGGATGGTGAAACAAAAATAATTTCCAAAATGTGGGGGAGATTCACAAAGAGTGGACTGCAGCTGGAGTCAGTGCTTCAAGAACCACCACGCACAGATGTATGCAAGACATGGGTTTCAGCTGTCACGTTCTTTGTGTCAAGCCACTCTTGAACAAGAGGCAGTCTTCTTAAAGTCTTAAGTTTTGCTCTGACACAGGGTTAGTTAAGCTTATTAATCTGAAAGATATATCTACAAAAAATGCAACTCAAATTGTTCTGAATAGTGTTAAAAGTGAAAAGAATAACATGGTTCAGATGTAGACATTTTTACAGAAACGTTAGCAGTCACAAAAACATTTGGGGTACACATTAACCAGCCAGGTGTGAATGCACTTAATCCGAGCTGACAAATGACAAGTCTGAACAGCATTTACAAGATCACAACGTGAACAGCACTCTGAAATACTGTCTTGTTTGTAAGTCAACTCCTAAAAATGCAAACAAAATACACGACGCAACAATAAAAAAATAAAAATAAGGAGTTGATTTTTCCTAACTGGGCATCTTCACTTCAAAACGTTTGACTTACAGTTGAACTTTTGCTTGCCGTTTTAGTGACCACAGCATGAACATGGCGTTGCTTGCGGCTGTGAGGGGGAGTAGTATTGGCGATGGAGGGCGGCGGGGACATGCTCATTCTGTTTACCGGGGTGGGCGGGGCGCTGTCAGCTCTGGGACGGGATATACCTGTAATAAAAAAGTAACGTAAGCAGACTACAACATTCTGTTTCCACTTAAAGCAGGAGAGTGGGGTATAATTACTGAGAGATGATGATGACGTGAAGAGAACAGAAAATGATTTGGTGAAAGAAACCGAGTTAATCAGAGGAGGTGATCTTTATTTGTTAACATGCAAGACAATGGTTAGATATGAATCACCAAGTATTGACAAGCATACTGATTGACTCTTTATGCCTGAAGGAAGCCCCTTGTTGGTGATCTTGTAAGCAAGTCTGAATAACTGACACGCTATCATTTTGTCGTGTGACGATACCCAAAGTTTTTAAAGCTCCAGTGTGCAATGTTTAGACTATTCCAAAGCATAAATGCAATATATTTGTACTACAGCAGGAAAGTGGGAACTTTTGAGTCATCATTACACTAAAAAAGGCAAAACAACTTGTCACATCACCCGTGCTCACTGCAGTAGCCTCGAAGAGGCAAAGCAAATAAACTAAAGACCACTATAATTTAAAGGGTGTGTGGGTGGGGTTAATTGGGTACTTCTCACTAGATACTACACACTGGACCTTTAACAGATAAACACCACAAATAAATAAATCATCTGTCCCGAGTATTTCATTAAATGATGCATCAGCTGGTGTTGGTACCATGAGAGAGGAACACTGGGCAAAAAGAGAACACCCTCTCGCGCACATCTCTCTTTTCAACAGACACACCTACAGTGTAAAGAGAAAAATACATACTGACAAGCTTCTATTCAAATGTTTAAAATATATATACATATATATCTAAAATTGAGAGTCATCATTTTCATTTTATACAGGAATAGTATCAAAACAGTACATTGAGAAAAAAAAAATGCTGCAAAAAAATGACTTATCTAGAAAATAAGTTTGCTCTTTCTTCTAAAACTGCTTGTAAACACCCACGATGTAGTTTTTATAAATAAGTTACCATAATAATGGCACCATTACAATAAAGCAGGGAATCTTTTCTGTGTAAAATAACAGTTAAAGTGTCTTCTTTGTAAGAATTTAATTATCTCAAACACAAATTTTTCAACTGTTTCCATCCACCACTGCAACAGTATACACTAGGCCTGTCACAATAACAAATTTTGCTGGGCGATTAATTGTCTCAGAAATTATTGCGATAAACAATAATATCGTTTGAAATTTGACAATAATTAGTAATTGTTGTCAAATTTAAAAAGAAATGTTGGTTGTGTGTGTAGTACCTTTTTTGACCACTGGATAACAGTATAAGACTGTTTGAACCGAAGGATGAATAGTGAGGGAGCAAGTAGCGTGCCTCTAAGAAAAATGGGAGGGAGGCCCCTTGATGTGGCATGGGCTGTCTCTCGTTCCTGTTTTGTGATTCTCAAAATGGCAGACGCTCGGTGTGGATTGAGCTCTTTAACATAGCATTTGTCACATAAAGCTTTTAATAAAAAAATCAGTAAACAAGTTCTCAGCTTCTTTTTGCAGAGAAAAACAACTTTTCGCACGAAGGCACGAGTTTCAACTGTGAATTTGAGTTTTGACAAGACAGTTTTTTTCCCCAAGGTCAGCCTGTTAGCTTAGCTTGTAGCTTAGCTTCTCAGCTTAGCTGCTTTTAACAATCCAAAAATACAATTTTGGACGGTTAAAACAGATTTTAAAGATAAAAGAGAAAGGGAGAGGTCAGTGAAGAGCACCGGAGTTGAGCCTTTTGTCATCCAGTGTCTTCAGTAGAAAGACAGACACGAAGAAACAAAACCGATAAAAGAAAATGAGGTTGATAATTTTCATTTATCATGCGATTAATTGATTTATTGTTTATTGCGACAGGCCTAGTATACATAACAAATATATACCTTGTATCCTAATTTAATTTATTGTGGCCACCTGATGTTTTGGTGTGAGAAATCAGACTGTATTTAAGGTCCAGTCTCAAACTAACAGTGAATATTGTGCACTTTGATTCTGACACTTTCACAGGCATGTCTGAATGAAATGTGAGGAACATTCATGAAAAAAGGACCAATTACCGAATACTTCATTTAATACACTGATTGTGCCAATTAACCCTGAAAATGCTAAATATTCACACCAAACTAACATTTATGTGTTGTCTTTTGTCTTTACATCCATACGTATACTTTGATTAAAATATTGTTTGAGAAAAAAATGTTAATCTGACTTGAGTTAATTTTTCTTTCGTGTTAAAGGGAGACTTCACTTTGTAGTGATAATGGAATCAATCATTTTGACGTTTAGAGCAAATATACCTTTTTTAATCAGTTTTGAGTGTTACATGACCAAGATTTTTTTAATCTTTACTCAACATCTTCTTACCCAGGAAAGCGTCCACTAGGCAGCTAATGCCCTTCATGGCCCTGAAGAAGATCTGGGGTAGCTGTTTTAAACATGGATGTAATACGACTTCGTGTGGAATTCCACTGGAGTTCAGAAACTGTTCCTGAAACTTTGGAGTGGTGCTCACTATCACTGGGTTGCTCAGGTCTACTGGATTGCTGCAAAATAATAATAATAATAATAATAAATTTAAAAAAGAAGATGCACATTCACGTTTTAAGTAAAACGCTTACAAATTATGAGTGAATGAGCAGAAATGCCCTAAATAACATGAGTCATAAAATCATGCAAACAAAAGGTTAATTATTCAGACTTAATTGTAATTATTTTTACAGGAAGGAGAACAGGCAACTTCCACTTCCCCTTAACAAACGTGAACAAACACACTGTCATTAAAGGTTACTCTATTCTTTCTTTCAGTAAAAAAAAAGAACGTTATGCACCCGATCATGTGGAGAAAGCGATACCACGTCTGTGCCACACAATCGTTGTCCATCTCTAAAGGAATCAAGTTGGCGTCCTCGTCGGGAACTTTAAAAGGTGGGAAGGGTGGGCCGTGAGTGAAGCGCAGAAGTCTGTAGTGTCAAAATGGGACAAATTACACGCATTATTACACTTACTAAATGATATTGAGCCACTAAAGTGCACTTGTTCAAGTAGTGCTGTTTGCTTTTTTCACAGTAAAGTTAATTATTAAACCTTAAATATAAATTCACTTAAATGACTAATTCTGTTGGGGCTTTTTTTCAAATGAATGCTGAACCAGACCCATTCTTACCTTGAAGTTAGTGCACAGGCAACTCTGCTCCATTGCTCTATAACAGGAGGGTGATGTCTCCAATTGGACAGCATTTCTCTTGCAGTCTTCCAATATGGCGGCGTGGGAAAGCAGCGTGCACAAGCAAGCAGCCACACCTCAAACAGCACTGCCATCAATTTCTCTGCCAGTTTCTCTGCGACCCCCACTAAACGAAATAAGCATTGGTGGATCACATTGGTCATGAGAACTGATAACGAAGAAACAAGCGAGTAAATACTTTGGAGCGGGGCTTACCGCCGACTGACGGTGGCGCGAGCAATGTGTCGTTGATATGAAGCAGGAAGAGCAGCAGCACCTCCCAGGTTTCCCTCACCATGGAAACAGATTCTCGTGCCAGCTTCTGGACTGCGGTCAGAACCTGCTGGCAAAGCCTGATGTGATTCAGACTATGTTGTTCGGGCCTGGAGGTAGAAACAGACAAAATAAAAATAAAAAAACTGCAATTTGGAAATAACGAGCAGGTCATGCTGATCATCGCTCGGTATAAAACGCACTACTGTACATTTGTGGTATCTATAGTACAAAATGTCAATACCAAGAGCAGAAAAAGGAAATGGAATCATTAAAATATATATACATTTCCATACCTTGGCACGAAGACATTATAGAGGTGTTTGAGAATGGTCTGGATGTACATATTGGGCTCCTTCACCACAGGCTGTGGCATCGAGTCCCTTGGTGACACCAGGGCCATCATCCAGTCTGTGTACACATCCACACACAGTTTGACGGTGTCCCCCTCCAAAGGTAGAGTCAGGCCATAACAAAGCACCTCCATGGTCCACTTTACCTGAGAACCAGTTTATTTTTCAGATATGAGTCACTGATTTATTGAAGCATTTGGTTTTGCAGAAAATTGCACGGGGGGGTGTTTTTTATTGCACATGACGGTGAACATATTTTTAGTAGCATACTTCTGAGATAAAGCCAAGCTATGTTGACAGTTAAAATTATCTCAAGAGGGTCATAATAAACAGTAAAGCACTTCTGAGCCACAGTGGAAAACAATAAAGGCCAAAGGTTTATGTTAGGAGGATGACAACTATAAAAGTACAAAGCATGCTCTCTTTAAAAGTTCAGTATATTCATCATTTAAATAAAAAACAGACCATATTTAAAAGAACAAAAGATTGTTATTTAGTGACCATTACACCTTAACATTAGTCTACCAGCCTAAAAGATGACAGAGAAGGAAAATAATGGGGTTTTTTTCTCAAACATTTTAACTAGGTTCTTTATAAAGTTGGAAAATAGAGCAAATTAGTCTTATTCCACCACAAAAAGCATATTTTACTATAAAACATCACACCAACTTAGTCTTAATAATTTAAGGAAGTATTTTGCATACAGTCTTAGTGTTTTTTTTTTTAATACAGATTAAGGTCTTTCTGAAATTTATCCTAAAAACTGAAGTCTTTAAAGGAGTTGCAGCAAAGTCTGATGCTCTGTGCAGCAGAGAAACATTAAAAAAATATTATTAACCTTCTCTCAAGTCAATATTTGACACGTGCTGTGCTGTCACATCACTAATTAAAACTGCTGCCTTGCAATGAACTTGATTCAAAGCAGTTTGCCAGCAATCATTCCATTTCATAGTTTTACTTTTTCCCACTATACAAGGACTTCTTAAAAGCTGATTCTTATTTGTGCAACACAAAGAGACCCAAAACTATATCCATAGGCAGCCATTACACCAAAAGCACATTGAATCTGTCAATTCCTGCAAACGGACACAGAACAACCTTTTTTTTTTTTTAACACTTATATGATATGTATATTGTTAGTTACAAAACACAGTTTAAAAACTGTAGCTTGCAAAGTCTTTACGTGATTAAAAACAGAACAAAAACCATGAACAGACACCTACGTTTTGGTAATTTTGAATTTAATTCAATTCAGTTGATTTATATAGCGCCAAGTCACAACAGAAGTTATCTCAGGGGCAGGGCATTTAACAAAAACATCCACATACATTATAAATGCCAATTAGTAAAAGTTATATATCTAAGGAAAGAAACCAGCAGATTGTGTTGGGTCTAAAGCTGAGGGACATCTGTAGTCTATTGGTTTCAAACTTACGCCTAGTACAGATGATGTACAAACTATCTCTGTAGTACTTCACATCACTCTTGCCTTTACATGGTAGTTACAGAACAGAAAATAGAAAACATCCCTGAGCACAACACATTACAACCCAATGGAATAAAGTCTAATGGACTATGAGAGCATGAGAAAAACACTTATGTTAATGTCAAGTCTATTTCAACACACATGCTCACCATCTCTTTAACGAAACATGGTGAGGATCATATCAGCCTTTATTGTAACATAAGAGTGTGGAAACTGGTTGAAATGAATAACAAAAAAACAAAATGCAAAACAGTTACTTTTAAAAGTTTTTATGATTGTGCACACACCCTCAGAATGATCTGAAAATAAGGAAATAGTTAATTTTACTGCTTGTTTTTCTTTTATTAACGCCGTCTTTAATAGAACTCAGAAAACTGAAGCAAACCACAAAATTAAAATCTATGTATGAAAATAAGAATTATATACATTTAGATTTAATAGTTCCTTGTAAAACATTCCAAGTTTGTATCTGGCACTAACCACTTTTTAATTCGCAATGCATATCTGAAGTGTATTTTAGCTTGGGAGAGTTTGAACAATTCTTAAATTTAAATTTACTGTTTCACATAATTCAGTGTATCTAGTGCCTCATTTTTTTTCTTGATATAAAAGTTGTATGCCTCGTCAGTTGTAAGAAATAAACACCCAGCATTTTGATAACACAGCACCGAGTTGTGTTAACTGGATTTGCCTGTTAACTATATTAAGGTGCTACAGTAGGAGCATTAGTCACGAAGACTACCTTTCAAGGCCACAAACGGAGGCAACAGCTTGGTAGGAATTACATCATTCATCATTCCAAAGTGTACTTGTTAAAGTGTCACAATTTCTTACCTCTTTGTCTGTTTTGAGGATGTTCTCCGTGGCGACAGGGCTTACAGCCGTGCCCAGAGGTTTGACCACAGCATTTGCCACCTCCGTGCCCACAGTGGGAGGATAGGTGTGCAGAACACTGAGGTGGCCCTGGTCACTTTGCACCACCAACTGCAGCGAGCGCCACTCCGAGTACATGTTGCTCTCTGTTCACACCACCTGCCTCCCACCTGCGGACACACAGCAGGAAGCTCAGCACGGAAAGTTTGGTCTGTTTATCCGATCCAGTTCAGTTGACATTTACTTGAGAATTATTATTTTCATAACCGAGCACTGCTGCACTGCTGGGAGAAAGGGTGTTCAACTTGAACTGGTTAAACTGGTTTCTGCAAATCTCGCGTGTACATGCAAGATCAAAACACAACAATTATTAGAAAACAATAACTTTGTATTAGTCAACTACCGAACATTTGCGGATATAGACTTAATAACGACGATAGTAGGAAGATGAAAATGTTGATGTAGCTTTAAACGGTAACAAATCTAGAATTAAAATTGTTCATACATACGTTTCGTCCCAACTTTTATGTGAAAATAGACTAAACATAAAACACCAGCAGGGTGTTGGTGTCCTTAAAGCTTAAAGTAACTAAAGAAGTCGTTAGCAAGCAGAAGAACCACAACCAGGAAACGGATCTTTGATTGAGTAGCTCCTTAGCATTAGCTAGCATAAAACCATCTTCCTCCTGCTAGTGACATTAGCTTAACTTAGCGGTAGGGTTGCTGAAATGTTGCAAAACCGTATTAATGAGCAAGTAAAATTTATATTCCTGGTGAAAATCGATGGTTGTATATGTCTCCTACTGTTTGTTTCAAACTACGTTGCATTTAATTCTACGTTATGAGCTAGCTCGATCCTTTAGCCTCTTCGTTGACATTAGCTCGCTGGCTAAACTTTGCAAAGCTACTATCGTATGTTCACAAACTAAGTAAGCTGGGATTTTATTCTCTTTACCTGGAACAAATGAAGACGATGTCATAACAGAGCTCCGAAATGTCGCAGGTTATGCTTTTAATGAAACCTGCTTTAAACCATAACAGCTCCCATCTTCGCAATGTCAGGGTTTAACGGGCTAACGGAGGAAACAGAATCAGGTGTTGTGTCCAAAAACGTAACCCCGTCGTGCGAGGAGCAATTCGGGGCTTTTGTTTTTCACTAGTGAAATGCATTCAAAATTATGAGACAAATTGACTCAAACCTTCAAGGATAAAATTTTCGAGAATTATTTTAAAATTATATATGGGTGTATAGTAGTTTCCTAGCAAAGTATGTTGCCAGAATTTGAATATTTTGATATTTATGAATTTTTTTTTTTAATTTTTGTTATAAAATACTCTATGTTTGAATAATTATAACAGAGAATTTTGTTCTTAATTAGGTGTAAAAACAAGTCGGTTTGCTCTTATTTGCTGTCTTTAAAAATGCCCTTCCCACTTTAGGGGTCCTTTTGGACGGAAAGAAAGGTGCGCTTTTTTCGACACAACACCAGAGGTTACCGCCCCCTAACGTTTGTTACAGCAAACTTGCCTGAATGGAGATGTTAAAAAAAAAAAAACATAGTGAAACAAGCTTTTACACTGAACAAAAAATATAAACGCAACACTTTTGTTTTTGCTCGCATTATTTATGAGCTGAACTCAAAAATCGAAGTTTTCTTTTTTCAATGTATAAAAATAGGCTTTTTCTCTCAAACGTTGTTCACAAATTTGTGTAAATCTGTTATTGAGCACTTCCTTGCTGAGATAATCCATCCACCTCACAGGTGTGATACATCAAGATGCTGGTTTAGACAGCACGATTACTGTACAGGTGCGCCTTAGGCTGACCACAATAAAAGGCCGCTCTAAAATGTGCAGTTTTATCATCACGCTGCACAACGCCACAGATGTTGCAAGTTTTGAGGGAGCGTGGAATTTGAGAGAAAAGAGTCTTTTGTGTGCACAGAAAAAGTCTTAGGTCTTTGAATTCAGCTCATGAAAAATAGGAACAAAACAAAAGTGTGGGGTTGATATTTTTGTTCACCGTATACAAGCTGTGTTGGAGTTTGATAAAACAACTATCATACATATAATTGTTCAGTTTTAGTCTTAAAAACTAAATTGATGAAATAACCCCTATATAATAAATAAAATGAAGGGCTTTAATAGAAGGCAGCCGCAGTATTACATTAGACTAATTAAAACAAGATTTTTTTTTTCCTAACTATGCAGATGATTTGTTGGGAGATAATTGAAACCAGTTTAAATCCTTTAGTTCACCCCTTTAAAATATGTTTCTGTTCTCTCTTTAATACTTTATACACGTAATGTGTTTGTTTATTCCTTGACGTTGATGTTTCTTGTAATTATTTTGAGCCTTAACATGTGTTGGACAATGAATGATGACAGTGATTTTAAATCAATCAACCTTTATTTATACAGGTAAATCCCATTGAGCCTCGAGGACTCATTTACAAGAGAGACCTGATTTCAACAAAGAAAGATGACAACAATGGACAACAGCAACAACAATAAGCAGTTATAAAAACTCATACTACAGTTTTTTTTTTTTGTTTTGTTTTGTTTTTTT